AGAAGAGGAAGAAAAAAAAAGGAAAAGAGGATGAGCGAAATTATTTTGTTTTATTTTTTAAAAATATAAATAATAATAATATGACTTGGCATAAACAAAATTCCACGTTTAACATATTTTTAGTTTGTTTTTGCCACGTCATCAAAAAAATTATAAAAAATGCCATGTAAGCGAGTTAACGATCGAAATTAACAGAAGGACTAACGGAGTGCATTTCGTATAGTCGAGGGATCAAAAAAGTGCAAAAAATTGTTAAGGGACCAAAAATGTGCAAACCACTAAAGTTGAGGGACCAAATCTAGCATTTAACCATTTATTTATTTGTTTAGTAATTTACAGTTACAGTCTTACAGACCACAAGTTTCCGGGTCAGCTTGGGCTCGAACCCGTTGCAGCAGAGTGGCGGGACCCAAGTAGACCGGCGGTCCAGCTCCGTTCGCACTCAAGAGGCAAAATGGCCATCAACTCTCAATTCATCTTCTTTCCAGATCCATATCAGCATTATTTCCAGCGCATAGAAACAGAAAAATTCACCAAGATCTAACTCCCAACACCACCAGATTATAATAATATGTAAAATTGAAAATCATCTCTTCCTCCTCCTCCTCCTGATCCCATTCCAGGGTTTATGAATTTCTGAGCAAGCTTGTACAGAAGCTCTAGTGTTTTTTTTTTTTTTCATGATTTCTAGAGCTTGAAAATGGATCTACAGCCTTCCCTATCGGGAAGGTACCCAAACGATTCTCCCACAACCACTTCCTCTTCCCTTTCCAAAACTGTCTCCGATGCCGGTATCCAAAACCTCTCTTCTATCCTCAACAACCCTCTCGCTGGCAAATCGGACGCTTCCTGGATCGGATGGTTGTCCTCCTCCACCTCCGTTTCTCCTCCTGAATTCGCTCCCCTAATCTCAACCAAGGCCTCCACCGATCTCGCCCGATCTGACTTCCAAGGCTATGTCTCTTCAATCTCTGAATCCTATCACCGTTTTGAGGACATTCAAAAGCACGCCACAAAGGAGAGCCTCGATGTGGACAGCATTGGCGGCCAGGGGGAGGCGCTCGTCGCGTGCTTGCGTGAGGTCCCCGCCCTTTATTTTAAGGAAGACTTTGCATTGGAAGATGGAGCCACGTTCCGTGCCGCCTGCCCCTTCGCCAACGTTTCCGATAACCTGGTGCTGCAGGAGAAGCTATCGCATTACTTAGACGTAGTGGAGTTGCATTTAGTTAAGGAGATTTCGCTACGCTCCAATTCATTCTTTGAGGCGCAGGGACAGTTGCAGGACTTGAATGTCAAGATTGTGGAGGGCTGTAGTAGGATTCGGCAGTTGAAGGAGACAATTCGACTTTTGGACTCTGATTTGGTGGATTCTGCCAGGCAGATTCAAGAGTTGAATGACACAAAGAGTAATTTGTTAGCACTACAACGCAAGTTGAGGCTTATATTATATGTTAACCAGGCATTATCAGCTCTTAAATTGGTCAGTATTTGGATGGATTTTGTGCAGAGCTCTTTTAACTATTAAATTTTGTTGCAAGCTTTAGGCTCTGCGTGATTTCGTATGCCATGTCTATGTTCTGCCAATTGATTTATCCAGTGATTTATAAAATTTAGTTGTCCTTTTGCACATTTTTGTTTAATCTAGTAGGTCTTCCTTTTCATATGATTCTTAAACTTGTTTAGGTCCTGGGAAGATATTTTATAATCTACCTGTTCAGTGTCTGTTTTGTTAGTTCTTGGGAAGGGGTTGATATATTTCCTGTTGAACAGCTTGTTGCATCTGCTGATTGTGCTGGAGCTTTGGATGTCACTGACGATTTGCAGCATTTGCTGGTATGTTTTTGTTGATTGATATGATTATGGATTAAATTTTGTTATCTGGTTCTTGCCATGTCTTGAATCCTCATTCTTGAATGTCATACTGAGTGCAGTGTACTAAGTTAGGATGAAAGGAGTAGGAAATCTATCTTCTATCCTTGTGTTTGTTTAGTTATCCATGGAATTGAAGGAAACTGAAATTTTGGGGCATAGTCTGGTTAGTAGCAAATATGGGAAAGGCCTGTGTTAATTCCCTTTAGACCCCAGTTATATGAAGTTTTAGATGGAGTACCTTAAACTTTACCTGTCTAATTATTCTTATAACATTTGTAATTAAATTGATTGGAACTATTAAGGAAAATTAAGGCAATGAACTAGGAGAAAATTTTGATGGAAATTTTGTTCCTACCTTTCTTCCTTCATGCTGTGACTGTGTTTTATCAATTAGTAGTTGCTAGGTTTGTTTCTTGACATTAAAAAGTAAGAAAGAGAGCATTCACTGGCATACAATTTCTAGTATTTTAAACAATTTCTGTCTTTTTATAGGATGGGGATGAGCTCACTGGTTTACATTGCTTCCGCCACCTTCGCGATCATGTAGCAGCTTCGATAGATTCCATAAACAGGTACCTTTTTCAGTTCTGGTGACATTAACTCAAGAAATATCTGCATATATTCACAAACTTCCTGTTCTGAAAATAATTAATCAAGATGCTTTATTATTATTCATTATTCCTTTTGGCAGTATTCTTTCATCAGAATTTATGCGTGCTTCAATACATGAAACTGGAGATACAGATTCAGTTATATTGTCTAAAGCAAAAGCCAGAGCTTCCATATCTGTAAATGGGAAAGATGATGAAGTAAGTGTAATGATCATATGCATTGTGTGCAGTATGTTATCTTAGTTGACAGTGAATAACAAATCTTGTATTCAGTTTTCTCTATCTGCCATGAATAAGGCCCTCTCCTGAGTCCTGACCCTGGGGAGGCTCACTGCTTGAGCTTATCAAGTAATTTGGAAGGGAGTATTTGAATTTGCTTTTATGACAAGATCTGTAAGATTGCTTATTATGTATAGGTTCTCCATGTTCTTTGATGTATTGTATTTGGTGACTAATTTAGTCACTTTTGTAAATTACCCAAGCTAGTGTTGTAAAAAGCATGCGTAGGTTTTGAATCTGCTTTTAATTATTTTCTCATGGTTATTTTTAGATGTTATGTGTAAGTTTAATGATGCACATTATCTGACCATTGGAATCGTATGTCAGCAGGTTAAGTTACATGAGGAAGAAACCTTTAATTTTCGGGATCGACTTCTCCCTCTCATCGTTGGTTTGCTCCGAACTGTGAGTGATTATCTCTAGCTCTTCTTCCATGATACAGTTTTTACACCTAAGATTGTGAATTTGTGATTATGTGTTAAACTCATTCTTTAGCTCACTTGGTCTTCTGTGAATATCTAGACATTTAAACTTTGATTGATTAGTGAAAGTTCAGTATGCTGACCTCCTTTTCTCACTATTTTGTAAAGTGATTATGATAAGAACACTACTAAATTTGCTAATTCTTTTTTTTTTTTTTTCATTCCCTTTAAATGTAGTTTTAATAATTGTTCTGTGATTTTTTGTTTGTTATGTTTTGGTGAAGTTCTGAGGTTATTTACATCAGTGTGATTTGGTTTAGCTGCTTGCCTGTTTGACTTGGAGTTGAAATTTGTTTTGACCTAAAACAGAGATACTATTTCCTTCTGTTCGTTCAGTGGTAGAATTGATTTTAATATAGACAAGCATGTTTAATGATTGCTTTCAGGCAAAGCTCCCCTTTGTGTTGAGGATATATCGTGATACACTTACCGCTGATATGAAAACAGCTATTAAGACTGCAGTTGCAGAGCTGCTTCCTATTCTTGTTGCCCGGCCTTTGGAGTCAGAATTTTCACCTGCAGAGCGTATAGCTGATACAGATGGTAAAAGTTAACTTTACCCTAAATCTTAAGTTCTTAACATGCATTATGTATATATAATTACATTTTTTATCATTAAACTTCATTTCTCATCTCTACCAACTAGATAGTGGTTTTTCCCTACATTTTCTGTTCCATCCAGTCTATTAATACTTGGAATGTGATCTAAGGTGGAGGTTCATCACTCGCAAGCAAGTTGAGGAGCTTGTCATCTGAAAACTTTGTTCAACTTTTAGCTGCTATTTTCAAGATTGTACGGGTAATGTTTACTTGACTACTTGTGGACTAGCAGTTGGCATTGAAATTTGTAAATGGCATGGTTTACAAATTCCTGTGTTGTGAGATATATATGGTTTGCTTAAGTTATGAAGATGTGTTTTTGGAGGATAAATTAAATCATTTGATGCAAGAAATAAAAATTACAATATGGTTCTTGAATCTGTACACATAACATATACAATACAGCTATAAATTACTGAGTAGTATTGGATTATACCAGAAAGATAATTAATTGGGTTTATCAATGACTTTATCACTTTTACCAAAGCATATCTGGAAGAGACTTACCTGGAAAAGCAGCTAGACACTTGTTCAATATTCAATTGTTACTTGATTTCTTCAAATAAAGTTACAGCTTCTGAGCAACCTATGAATCAACTTTTTGTCAGTCTACTATAGAAAACCACACTGGCTTGTAGGAACTATCTCTAAAATCTTTAAAAACATTATCTTCATTGATTTAACTAGGGGGATGCTCTTTTCTATTTAATAATTGCCCTTGCATGTCATAGCTTATTAACATGCACAAATAAGCTTTGTTTTGATGAATTTATGATAATAAACAGTCTGATCTCTTTTCTGTACAAACCTCATGTTTCTTGTTACCTAAGATGTAATATGATTTCACTTATTTTAGTGAATGCAGGCTCATTTGGTGCGAGCTGCTGAAGTGAAGAAGGCTATTGAATGGATTATGTGCAGTCTTGATGGTCATTATGCTGCTGATTCAGTTGCTGCTGCAATTGCTCTTGGTGCCATGGCTTCAGAATCAGCTCAAGAGAATGATGGTCAAGGTGGATCACTTCTGCCTTATACATCTGCAAAAAGTGCTGCCAAGGTTCCCCCACCTTCAGTGAAAGCAAATGAAGCAATGAACCCTTCAAATATGTCCAGAAATTTCAGGTTCAGCCCATCATTCATCTGTTACCTTTTTTTTTCCTGACAATGTTGCTAATATTATTCACCATAATTACATTAATTTTATGTTTTAGATATTAATTTCATCATATTTTTCAATCTTTTACATTTTCTGTACAGTAAAATACATTGTTGAATCATTTTTTGGAGAGACCATAGATCTAATACCTTGAATTTAAATAAAAATACCAAATGATTGTAAGGGTTAACTGAAAACCTTTTCAACATTAGGATGGAGCTGTTCTATTCAGTGACTAGAGTTGAAATGAATGAGTCCAAATCACCACTCAGTTTAATAGATTCATTAGATTATGAATCATGATAATCTTCTGACATCTTTAGGATATCATTAAAGTTCTATTTAATTAGTACAAGATATATCTTCTAATCTGCTGACTCCACTCAGGAATGAATACAAATGGCATGGTTTCAAAATTGACTTTTTCATGTGTATGAACAAGCTGAATCAACCTGATGTAGCTCTGCCTGCTTTTGGCCATGTATGGGCACATTACTACAAATCAGATTTTTAATACAAAAGAATGGGGTGCAACTGCACTGCTTCGGATGAAGATATTACCATGTGATAATAGCATAACCTAAAATCACAAGTTTCTAAGGACCTGTCTAACTTGTGTGTATATATTTCTTCAACAGTCACCAAATCTCCAACAGGCCACTATGGTGTTAGCTTCTGCTTAGTCTCTCTAGGTTTCTATTTAAGACCCTTCCAAGTCTTAGCATGTTTTGTAATTAACATTCTTGATGCCTATTATGATATCACCATAGTGCCTGTTTGAATGAGACTTGCCCAACAGATTTTGAACCCTATCTCTGTTACACATTTTGCTTCTATACCATCTCCTATAACCATTTCCTTCTTTTTAACTTAATGCTAAATAAAACTGTAGAAGGTAAAATCTTAAATTATCTATGTTTGGCATTTCTTCCTTGTTATGGGTTCAGTTCTAATCTTCTAATAAAATGTGCCTGTTGACAGAGCTGATGTATTGAGAGAAAACACAGAAGCAGTTTTTGCAGCTTGTGATGCTGCTCATGGAAGGTGGGCAAAGCTCCTCGGGGTCCGTGCTGTTCTTCATCCTAAATTGAGATTGCAAGAGTTTTTAAGCATATATAACATCACCCAAGAATTTATAAGCGCAACGGAGAAGGTATTCATCTAATGCCTTTTATACATTGAATTCTATCAATTTATCTGGTCGTGATTGTGATGCCATTCTGGTTGCATTAACAGATTGGTGGAAGGTTGGGGTATAGCATCAGAGGAACACTACAATCACAGGCCAAAGCCTTTGTTGAATTCCAGCATGAATCACGAGTGAGTTTTTTTATTCTGTTTACTAGTTGGATTACCATATTCTTTCTATACAGGACTGATTTTTTTTTTTTAACTGTCTGCTATATAGATGACAAAAATTAAGGCAGTACTTGACCAGGAAACCTGGGTGGAAGTGGATGTACCAGATGAATTTCAGGCTATTGTCAATTCACTATTTCATTCTGAAGCATTGATTTCTGGAAACACAGATGAGAATGAAAGTAAAATCACAGTTAAATACAATTTAGTGATTGCAAATGATGATGGTTCACTGAGGACAGATACTGGAAATCTTGATGTTCAACAGCAAAATGAGCAGACTGAATCTAGTGCCAAAACTGATAATAAAACTTTAAAGGATAATTTACCGTCATCTCAAAGTAACAGCAGTAACACAAAGGACCGTGGAAAATCTACTGCTCAAACACTTGTATATGGAGATGTTGGTTATCACATGGTAAACTGGTTAGTTATCTCATTTCAATATTTTTATACGTTATATGTAGTTTTATGCACTTCTCACCTTTAGTTGTGATTCCGAAATTTGGATTACTGTGAAATTCATTTTTTATTTTTTGATATGATTGCGTTGTCTGCTTAATCATATTTATATTCCCACATTGCATCCATTTTATTTTTGGCAGTAGTGGTAGAAGTTAGCAAATGATGCCTGATGTGGCAACAATAAGGCTGATGATATTTTTTTTTCATTCTTTTGTTTCTTTCAGTGGCTTAATGTTGTTGAAGATGTTGTCAGAGTACATTGATATGAATAATCTGTTGCCAGCACTTTCTTCAGAAGTTGTTCACCGTGTTGTGGAGATCTTGAAATTTTTCAACACAAGAACTTGCCAGCTTGTTCTGGGTGCAGGTGCCATGCAGGTTCAATTTTTAAGCTCTATAATTAAAATTTAAATGGTGATTAAGAATTCTATTAATCAAATTAAGAAAAATAAATTAAAAACCAGATCAATACTTGTGTCACCTATACAATCCATAAAATTTACTTCTAATTAAACTTTTAATGTGAATGAAGAGTACATAGTTATGTCTGAGGAAAAATTATAAAGCAAAGATGGGTGATGGAAGAGTGAAAGATTGAAAGAAGAGGTTAAAGAGGGAGTTAAAAAAGCTATGATTGGGTGATGGAAGGGTGATAGATTGAAAAGAAAAGTAAAAGGAAGGGCAAAAATGGGAGACTAGGAAACAAATATGAAGTGATGAAAGGTTTAGTGGGCACAAAAAAGAGAGAATTGATGCAGGCCCCTTTGCCAGCATAAAAGAAGAAAAAATCAAATCTAAAAAATCCAAAGAAGACAAAAGACCCCTAATTACTTGTCATTTCAGTGATTAGATGTGTGAAATATTCTTGTTTGTGCTCATATTTGTTGCTCCAAATGGTTTGCAAGTGTTTTGTCTTGAAATTATTCTCATGTGCCCTCCAAAATCACTGAGTTGTTTTCTAAGAAGTTATCTGGCTTATCTCATGCTTCATATGAAACTTAATTAAGGTTATTGTATTCATTATTTTGAATTGTGTTTGTGTTATTGCAGGTGTCTGGTTTGAAGTCCATTACTTCTAAGCATTTGGCATTGGCAAGTCAAGTCATTAGTTTCACATATGCTATTATACCTGGTATGCGATCATAAAAGTTTTAGGCTAATCTATTATTTATGCTTTCATTTTATGGTTTTGCACCATTATTAATGTTGCATTTCTGTTACATGATTTGAGTGTGACTTGAAATCTTGCCAACTAATCCACGAATTGTCTGCCTCTTTTTTCTGGACCAAGACATCAGGCGGACCCTTTTTCTGAAAGTTCCTGAGCCTCGAAAGGCACTGTTGCTATCAGAGTTTGATCGAGTAGCTCAGGTATATCATTGGCTTGGTCTCTTATCTTCCTTATTTGCTCTTTACTCCTTCCTCTGGGCCAGAGTGTTATTTTGGGAGCACTTCTCAACTTTTTTATTAAGAGTTTATATTTTCATAAGATACTGCAATCAATTTTTTATGATATTAACATTTTTTATCAGTGAAATTCCTTAAGTCTCCTTCCCAGGTTAAATAACTTTTTAACACTATATGCTTTGATTTTATTTATTTATTTTTTTAATTTTTTTTTTTTAATTAAGGACTATAAGGTTCACCGGGATGAAATACATACGAAGCTTGTTCAGATAATGAGAGAAAGATTACTGGTTCATCTACGTGGACTGCCCCAGATTGTTGAAACCTGGAACAGACCTGAAGATGGTGATTCTCAACCAAGCCAGTTTGCTCGATCCCTTACAAAGGTTACTACTGTGATTAAACAAACAATTTATAATATTATTATTATTCTGTCTCTGCTGGTCTACTACTGGCTGTTATCATATTTTTGTTTCTTTTTTCTTTTCCTTGTAAAAAACTAAGAGTTAAGTCTCGGTTTTGTGTAATGTGCTTTATCTGGAGTTTTCCTTCTAGATTCTTTTTGATAAACCATCACTTTTGTGAGGAGAGTGCATTTCTACGAGGAAAGAAAAATATGTTAATATGAGAATATGAGAATTTGTTTCAAGGACTACTATTTGTCTTTGTTTTTGTTCAAGTGAATAATTCTTTGTTAGTTGATGATTGGATTTTCTATTTACTTCAGGAAGTTGGCTATCTCCAACGTGTCTTATCTCGAACTTTGCATGAAGTAGATGTTCAAGCAATTTTCAGGTAACGCAAATTAAATATCTGAGTTTTTTCTTTCAACTGTGTTATCTTTATATTATATCATTCTGTAACTGGTAATACTAGCTATTCTGTAACTTCTAAAGAACTTGTATCCATTGCTTGACTAGCTCCTTATATTGCATGCCTATTACTCCTTGGAATTTATTATTTAAATATCCATGTCAGATGATTCTATGTAATGTAGCTTCTGTTAAGTAATCAACTAATTAGTTCTTCTTTCTGGATAAACAATGAAGCAAAATGACTTCTTTGCTGAATCCTTCCTGCAATGTAATTTGTGGCGTGCATTTGTTGTAGGCAAGTGGTCGTAATCTTCCATTCACAAATATCGGAAGCATTTTCACGATTGGAGATCAGCACCCCTAAGGCAAAAGAAAGGTAATTCTAGCATGGTGTTCGATATTTATACAAACATCAAACGTTATTGCTTGGTTTAGAAAATGATTGTTTATTTTAATTTGATTAATGGCTATAGTCTATGTAATGGATTATTTTATTTTTGTATATCAGATTACATTGTGACATAGCACACATCCTTGGATGCATTCGATCATTGCCTTCTGATAACGTGAGCAATTCATCTACTCCTAACTGGGGGCAACTCGATGAATTCTTGGCACAAAAATTTGGCGGTGAAGCTGGTTAATGCCTGTTTTGTTGTAAAGTAGCAAAATTGATTGCTTCCCTTAGGAAGCACATCTGAAGGAACAATTGGGGAGGATGTTTAAACCCATCACCTTGTAGATTTAAATTAAGGTAAGGTTCTTTTCTCGTGTTCATTTTTTCAATGAGATCAGTATTTGAAAGTTTTTAACCCTGGCCTACGGTAACATCTTTATATGAATGGTCTTGTCTCGTGACCATAATATAAATGATAGCTTCCTACTGATTGGATTTCTTCCAGTTTTTGATTTGCTTACAGGTAGATGTTAAAAATCTTTTGTATCACATTCAATCATTGCAACGGGAGGCGGCATCTTCATTTTCATGTTCTTGCAGTCATACTTGATAGTACAGTTTTTGTAATACCCCGTATCATCCACATTTTGGTCTCTTGAATCTTGATGTAGTTTTCGGGTAAAAACTGAACGAATCGATTCTGTCTCACTTTTTTTGTTCAGTTGAGTGATTGTAGTGGGACTACTAATGTTTCCAGTCATCTCAAGGCGAAATTTGATTATTTCTAGCTTAATTGTATCATTATTCGATTAAGAATTTTTTTTTCTTATCAGCATTATTCGATTAAGAAATAATAACAACCTGTCTCTCATTTGTTCTTTACTACACCCTTGGATTTGAAATTTAGATGTTTTTTCCACCCTATTTCACATTGAAAATTGGTTCATGACTTATTTAAGTACGTAAATAGATAAAGAGAGTAGGGAAAATCAATGTCTTGGTAATTAAATGACAAGATAGGTAATGAAAAAAATTAAAATATTTTTAATAAATTAACACATGAAAAATTTTATTAAGGGTATTTAAATAATTTTATATAAAGTTTTAACATTTAAAAAATAAGAACTTTTTTTTTCATGGACAAATCAGCAAAAGATTATAGCTGAATATTATGAGTATGTGCCCTTAATAACATTTCATTAATGGTATTTTGATAATTTTAAATTAGTGCTGGTTAATGGCACAATGGTAATATCGATTTTCAGTTCTGCTTAAACAAATAAGAAAATGGTTTGTTATTTAATTCTTGCATCGTTAACGTGGATGAGAAAGATTACTACTCCCTCCTTTTAAATTATATATTTGACGTTTTTGAGAGAGGATTAAGGAAAGTAATAATTTTTTTTTTTAATTTCAGGGATAATTATGTTTAAAGTATTAATTTATCTTTTTGAGATTCATTTTTTACTCTTCCTTTCAGTAAAGATGATAATTAATGTCTTATAGTAAAATAGAAAGATAATAGTAAATAGTAGTATTATATTAAAAACTGAAAAATGACAATTAAAATTTTAAAATAGAAAAAAAAAAAGAGTTTCAACTAAAATGTGTGGAAAGGAGGTAGTTTTATTCTCCATATCCAATTAGCAAAAGCTTAATTATTAGTGAACTGTATTTTGGGTAAATGTTGGCCCCACCCCCACAGGCCTATGTTACACATGTTATAATTCTAATGAGAACCAAGCTTGAGTTTCAATTCAAACTCCTGCCCAATGGGTAGATTCAGTGACGAAATTTCCAACGTAAAAAACCTTGCATCTTCACCATCCCTCATTGTCCTTTGAACTGATCCCGCATCCATCACTCTTCCATTGCTCATCCCTAACCAATAATCATAGCCCTTCAATTTCCCAACATTTTCAATCCCTATAAAACTAATTTTACTTATAATCCACTTTTGTCTTTGAGCAAATTCCCCCTTCTCAACCTTGGATCTAACAATGACCTCATTATTCCTATGCTTCCCATAGAATTTCACCAAACTCCAATTCTTTCCCTTTCCTCCGATCTCCACTTCCACTCCATCATCCAAGAACACTTTCCCCCTCATGTTTTCACGGCTGACGACCACCAATAGCTGGAATGGTGTCTCCCGGGCTGCTTTTGTGGTCATGGCTTCTCCTTGCATGGCTATAATGTTTCCTTCTCGGACATGCACGTTTATATGCTCCGGAGGAGCATCAAGTGTCACGTATTTCCCTGCCTCTGCACTCACTGACTTGGAGTAATCAAAGAGGTCAAACCAATTTCCTGCCGGAAAGTAAGCGTCAACGGTGACTGCTCCTGGCTTCAACACAGGTGACACCATTACACCTTTACCTATCAAGAACTGGGAATCAATTTCATAGGTTTGGGGATCTTCAGGGAATGTGAAGAAAAGAGGACGTGCAATGGGTGTCCCTTTTTTGTGTGACTCGTACATTAACGTGTAGAAGTACGGCAGGAGGCGGTACCGGAGGCCGAGCACCTCCCTGGCCGCTGCAGCAACCGAATCCCAGAGATACAGCTCTTGACGAATTGTGTCCTTGGCAGAATGATCTCTAGCAAAGGGGTAAAATGCCCCTAGCTGCAATATAATTCACACATCAAATTTAACTTTCAAAATTAGCTACAAATGCAAGTAATTAATGAATCGGAAGACTGACCTGAATCCATCGGCAGCATAGTTCTTCAGTGGTATTCAGAGAAAAACCACAAATATCCGCTCCGACCATCGGAATTCCAAAGATTCCGGAATTCAGAATGGATGAGATTGAGTAAGCCAAATCATCCCACGTCGCCGCATTATCTCCGGTCCAGTGGGCTGCATACTTTCCGGAGCTGACAAAACTGGATCTACTTAGTATAAACGGCCGTTTACCAGTCACCTCGATCAACGCCGAGTGAGTGGCTCTGCTTTCCAATAAACCGTACAGGTTGTGGGCATTATACTCAGTTATGTTCCCAAAATGCATAGAGGTTGCCGGAACTGTGTTGTTATTAATTGGCCGGTGATTTCCGTCGTTATTAATTTTGTAAGGAGGATCGTCCAGTGTAGAATTTTGGGTTGGAGGGGAAGTTATGAAATTGGAAATCTCATTCATATCAATCCAGAGACCGTCCACCGGAAGAATATCCCTGAATCTCTTAATCTCACCGGCCCAAAATGTTTCAGCCACCGGATTCGCGAAATCAGGGAAGTAGACCGGACCAGGCCAGACTTCGCCCAAGTAAGGAGCACCGTCACGTTTGATGAAGACATCGGCTTCCATTCCTCTGACGAATGTCTCGTAGGTATTGTTCACGCTAATTCCTGGATCCAAAATCAACACATATTTCTGAGCATTTTTGTGAAGCTTATCGACGAATTTTTTCATGAGGTCCGCCGGAAAATTGACTGGATCGAGAGTGAAATCCTTATACCCGTCCATGTAATCAATGTCCGTCCACATGACTTCAAGAGGGATTCTGGCCTTTGCATACCCGGCCACCACACCGGTGATATCCGACACGTTTTTGTAACCGTATCGGCATTGATGAAACCCGAAAGACCAATACGGCATAGGGGCAGGGCGGCCGATCAGTTCTGTATACTGCTCTATAACCATCGCCGGCGACGGTCCGGCGAAGAGGTACAAATCAATCACGCCACCGATGACCTTGTAAGTTATCCTGTCTCCGCCGTAGACGATGTCCATGCCATTGCTGTTGAGCAGCAAAACGCCGTGAGCGGCTCCGCCGGATCTGAGGTCCAAGTAGAAAGGGTGGGACCCATAAAGATTGACATCTAGATTTGCGCTTGCCAGGTCAGCATTCCAGAGTGTATACGTGTCATTGGGTTTCAACTTTAACGACTTCTTTGTGTGCTCTCCCAGACCGTACAGAGATGACGTGTCGTTAGGCAGCCAGGAATAGAGTTGGATGTACTGGTCCTTGAAGACCAAGAAAGTGGCTGGATCGGACGTGTCCGGCGACGTGTCGAACAGGACTTCGCCGGAGGAGACGCGCGACACGGAGAAGCCGAATGGGGTGGTGTTGCGGAGGCGGAAAATGAGTTCTGAGGTGGAATCCGACACAGAGTGGTCTGCTTGAGAGGGGATCTGATGGATTTCCGGCATGGAGCGGTGAGCATGGTGGGAGTGGCGAGCGTGGTGGGAGTGGCGGTGGATGATCTCTTCTGGGATTTCCCATCTTTGGTGTTTTGGATCTGTGATTCGGATTCTCAAACGCCGGTTGGTCTCCAAGCTGCATGTAGGAGGAGAAGAGGGTTATATTTAAAAAAAAAAAATTTTTCTTGAAATAAAAAGAAAGAAAAATCATAATCCGTCGAGAAAATAACTCGTAGTTTGTAAGTTAAACAGCATATGAATGCTGGTAGTAAGATTCTTGTTCGTTTTGTCCTTTTATTTTTAGTAGTATTCACTATAGTCCCTTTACTTGATTCTTGTTCGTTTGAATCTTCTTGCTTTTAAAAAGGGATAACTTCTATGAAGTTTTTTTTAATATGTTAATTGTAAGATAATTTTTATTATGTAGTTTAATATGGTAAAAATTTAGATTGAATCATAACTTTATAATTAGGAGCACGTTAGTCTTATCATCATACTACATAACCTATGGGAAGACTGGTCTTCCATGAAGATGAGCTGATGGCATACAAATTAAAAACTGAATGTAATACTTAACTAGTTGGAATTATCAATCATTTAGAGTGTTAATGTTTTTGAGATTTGGTTTTGCTCGTGCAAACAACCTCAACCTACCTAGCATAAGCGGGACTTACAATATTGTTAGGAGCATTTAACAGTACAGGCCAACCAAAAAAAAAAAATTTTTCTCTATGTTTTCGAAGTAGTTTAGGGAAAAAAAAATGGCTTTTCTCACATGCCCCTGTTAGGAGCATTGCATTGCTTTGAACAACGGCTCCTGTATAGATAGAGGGCGTATTGTCTGGATCATGCCGTGTGTTAGAGAAGGTGTATTATTATTATTATTATTATTATTAGAGTTACTTTGTGAGTGAATAGAATTCGAAATCGAATTTAGTGAAGAATATTATGCAAAGAGCAATCAGTTAATCCACTTAGAGCTTCACCATAAAGTGTCATATTTTAAACTTTAATTCTAATCAATTACTAATTTATTTAAGAACTAATTTAATTAAATTACTTAATAGAAATAGGACAATAAAGAGCCTTTTTTTTCACTAAGTTTTATGATAAATCAAAAGTTGAGTGCATGATACTACCATACACTATACAGTGAAAAAGAAAAATGAAAATGAAAATGTCAAGGAAGGGGAAGCGACTTGATTTAGTGAAAGGAGGAAACGACTCCAGGTATCTACTGTAAAAGTGAAACAACCTTGTAATAAAACAAAAAGAAAAAAAAAATCTCTTAGATGAAGTCACAGGAGAGAAGTTAAATGTTCACGTTATGAATTTTAAATTTCAATAGTAGAATAAGGTTATTGGAAGGGCTATTTCTGATTAATCAAAGTATCAAACAATATAAAAAATAATAATTACGAAAGGAAAAATGATAAGTGGGATAATTTCTATTTAGGATGAGGTGATAGGGAGATGATTATTTTAGGTAGGTAGTTAAAAAGCAATTTTTTTTAACAGTGTTATATATATAAAAACTTCTTCTTTTTTTTTTTTGAATTTGGAAAGTTAAGATGAAAGGTATTGAAAGAGATGAGATTTAAAACCTACACAAGGTGAGATATCATTTTATAATTAGTAAGTGATCACTCGAGTCATTTAAGATTTTTTAACAAGTTATCTTTTATAAAAAAACAAAAATGGGAGAGATTTGATTTTAAAGCTAGTGAGAATTTTGGGAGTTACCATTATTTCACTCAAAATTCTTAGGTAAGAAGTTACTTTTTAGCACTTGGCCCTTAAAGCTTCGATGCATTCTTCCGACCAGGTTCGAAACCCATTCCTTGCAAAATATGTAAAAAAAAAAAAAAAAAAAGAAGTATAAAAAAACTTCCAATCACAACCCGAACACCTTTTAACCTCTAGAGCGGATACCGGGGACATTAACACTGACGTGGTATCTTCGATGTCACAACTTATCATGTCATTATTTCTTTTTTTTAATTCCATTGATTCAGCGGCCACCCTCTTTTTTGTTAAAAGATTTTTTATGTAAATTTTAAGACGTGGGATTTGAATTCAATCTTTAATATTCAGAAAAATTAATAAAATAAAAAAATTATTAATATGACATATTATAATGGGTCAAAATTACCACTGAGTGGTATTCTTAAGATAGCTTTCTCCTCAAACGGTTTTGGATCCAATTTGCCAAATAAGACCACCAACCATGGCTCTAAAAGCGTTGGGATGAATCATTATTTATGCCAATAACAAATGCTAGGAGCCGACCGTTTCTGCACCCTACCCTAATGCAATTTGTGGAGTGCAATGCTAAGTATCCTAGCATTTCTGTTATATAATATACCATTAACTCTGGTTCCGTTTTTAAAATGTTGCTATCGTAATTATAAATAAATACAAAATTAATTTACATTGTGTAATTATTTTTAATATAAATAAATGAATAAATTTGATAAGTTAAAGGTGTATGGTATACTTTATTATATAAAAATATGTTTAGATTTTTTTAAAAAATTTAAGACTAATATCTTAGGTATTGTAGATGGCCAAAAAAAATGTATTGGGTATTATATTTTATTAAATAGAAATGAAATTTAAATATATATTTAAAACAAAAATTTTCAAAATGTGAATTATATTTGATCTTCAATGTGTAACTCTATACAAACAACATTAACATTTAGATTTAAAAAAATATATATTTTCAATAACTATAAGTCCTATGTTTATTTTAATTAAATCATATTAAGATAAAAAAAATGATATATTAGATGATAAAAAGAACATATATCACAAAAATATTTCTTTTTTTTTTTTCAAATGGTTTTTGATAATCGATTAGTTATTCATTCATCAAATCAGTGAGTAGTTTCTTGGTGAATCCTTTATTATAAGCTATTTTTGAAATTCTTTTCATTCATCATTACTGTGGAATGAAATCAAATTTGATGGTAAAAAAAATGACATGATAGTGAAAAGAAATGGTATGGGTTATATTAGTATTTTTAAAATAAATCTCAGTTAATTTATATTGTATGTTACATTACAACATATTTTAGACTTTAATAAATTAGAAATTAGAAAGGTAAATAAAGGGTAGTGGATCATTATTATGAAAAACAAAATAAAGTGCATAAACACCAAAAGGTATATAATGTTTAAAAAGCTTTAATTAAAATTTATTGAGAAATTAAAAAAAATTATATAACCAAAAGTTACAATTATAATATCATAATTGAAATACTAGGAATATAAATAGTAGGAAGCAAATTTGAAGAGATAGAATTATGACAATACAAAATTAATGATAACTAAGAGAATATCTTAAAAGAGAAGAATAATGAAATATATCTTTTTTTTTTAAAATAAAGAACTACACATGAAGAAGAAAACAAAAAATATTAGAAAAAACTATAATTACATATATAGCCGTTATGTGTTATATATATAATCTTATATTTTTATTCTTTATAAATTTTGAGTATCTATTCACCCTCCTTGATTTTAATGTGTTATGTATATATATATATATATATTATATTATATTAGAATATTAAAATAACAATAGGAAAACAAGAACATGAGATGATAAAAAAGGTTCAACTTATAGTATTAAGTAGATTTATTTAAATAATTTATTCTTTTATAATTAAAATAAGGTTTAAGTACCATTTTGGTCCCTCGACTTTTGA